GGAGTTACCTCAAAACTGCAAGGAAGTGGGCGGCGCCTTCGCGCCGGCTCCCCACATATACCGTTTGAGCCACAGCTTCATTTGACTTTTTTGTAAAACTTTTTTTTTTTTTTTTCCCCAGTTCTGGGGCTCTAACTCAGGGCCTGGGCACTTGAGTTTCTTTGTTCAAGGTGAGTGCTCTACCACTTGAGAGCACCACTTCGGACTTTTCTGTGATTAATTGGAGATTAAGTGTCTCACTTTCCTGCCCAGGCTGGCTTTGAACTATGATCCAGTCTCAGCCTCCTGAGTAGCTAGGATTACAGGTATGAGCCACCTGTGTGGCTGTGAAACCCAAAAATCTATTAACTGGCAAAAAGCCAGAACTGGAAGAACTATGATTACAACAGCTCAAGGCCTGGAGTTCAAGCCTTAATACTGGCACCCCCTCCCCCACACAAAGCAAAGAATTCTAAATAAAAACAAAGTAATACTATAAAAACAACACAAAACCCCAGTTGAACACCGGTGGCTCATGCTTGTAATCCTAGCTACTTTAGAGGCTGAGAACTAAGTTTGAAGCCAGCCCAGTAAAATAGTCCTGGAAAGATTCTTATCTCCAATTAACTACTCGAAAACCAGAAGTGGAGCTGTGGCTCAGTGGTAGAACTCTTAACCTTGACCAAAAAGAGCTGAGGGACAGAACTCAAGCCCTGAGTTCAAGACTCAAAACTGACAAAAAAAAAAAAATCAAACTCATTACATAACAGTAAAGGTCTAATCACACCATAAGAACAGAATCTGAAAGGTGTTCAAAAAAATTTATTTCCATAAATTAATACACATAACAGTGGGCATTTGGGTCACAAACTACTAAACAGAAAAGGAACAGCAGAGACATCCTGTATGCCAATGTTACCAAAAATGTACAAATTTTCACTCAACTATTGACCATGATAATATAGACACTTGAGGCAGCTATTTACTGGCCCAAACCCCAGCTCAAGGAGACACAGAGGCCACTCACCGAGAATTGAAGTTCAATCCAGTATCAGAGAAGGGCTTGTGCTGACAGCTGACAAGCACCAAATTTGAGCATGCTGTGCTGGGTGGCAGGTGACAAAAGACCCATGCACAGCCCACTTTGTCTTACCTGTTCCCTGTGGGACAAGGTGCTAATATTGAACTGTGATTCTAGCCACATTGTCTCCTTCCCTAGCCAGCGGTATGTAACTCATTTAGTTCAGGAAAAGAGCCTTCTACTGATATGAATGCAGACAATGATATTCTGCACATCTGGCCAATTATTTATACTTTGGATATAGCCACCTACACTGTGGTTATTTAAATGGTTCTTTCCATGATGGGGGAGAGGGGAAGCTTACAGAAATCAAACTAAACAAGGGTATGAAAGAAAGCACCAACTGCACTCGTCCCTCCCCAGGTAAGGGAGAAAAGCATCACTGCCTAAAGGTTGGTCTTTCACAGATCTTGTGATGTACATGGTACAGACAAGAGGGAACTCCAGCTTGGAGATGCTCGGCTGTACTGTGGCCCTGGACCTGCTGTCCTGTCTTCACCCTGGTGGCCAGGGGATGAGTCCCCAGGGAAGGGATGTCCAAAGTGGGATCTGGAGTTGATCAAAAGACCCCTTTTTAGGCAGAACTGTGACATAATGTCATGATTTTTTTCACAGCTCTTAAGAGGAGCGCTGAATTTGGGGATTCACAGCATGAGTTTCTGAGCTCTTTTGGCTCCACGTAAGGCAAACGCTACATACGTGTGTTTCCACGGCACTTCCCTCTCTGCTTTACCAGGCAATGAGGTACGTCCAAACTAATGCAGAAATGAGGCTAGGAAGGAGGCTAAGAGAGAAAAAAAAAGAGATGGGAGGGGAGGAAGTTGGTATGGGTAGAAATGGAAAGATGGACAAGGAGTTGGGCACAATCCTGACTGGACCTGAGATTTCTCCTCTCTTCCCATGGCACGAAAACACTACATTTCTGGAGGTGTTATACTTCTGTAAGTTGTATTTAATGCTAACTTCCTACTACTTGGGGTAAGTGAGAAACTACCAGCTCCCAACAGATTTCCCATTGTTCTGGGCAGGTAATAGGCCAGCAGCTGACTAATGTCTCCTGCTGTGGCCAGAGGCTGTATGCTCTACTGATAACCCTGACCCTGGCTCATAGCGGTGAAACCAGATATTGGCTAAGCTCAAAGGATCAACTTCAGGTGAGTACTGAAGTTTCTAACAGGGGGGCTCCTCCTTGCTCCCCTGAAGAGCCCTCACTACAGAGCAAGCCAAGAATTACAGACAGGTTGGGGAAGGTGGCTCATGCTTATAGTCCCAGTACTTGGGAGGCCAAGTATAGTTCCAGGCCTGCCTAGGGTTACACAGCCAAGTTCCAGCAAGGCCAGCCTAAGTTACAGAATGAGACCCTGTCTCTAATAAAACAAAATACAACCAAAAATCAAAGAGTGGTGGGGTTGGCCCCAGAGCAGCTTTGCCCTACATTCCTCTAGTCCTCTGGTCCAAGTTGGCCATGTTTAGATCACTGTTCCTGGCGCTTTCAAGTATCATGACTGAGGACCCAACATGAAAGATCTGTCTTGGTGGAGGTCCTATGGCTGAGCCCACCTCAACTCCTGCCTCAGCTGACTCCCCGCTCATTGATGAGTGCCACCCCATGCCCTTCCTGCAGCAAAAGGGCAGAGAAGCAATATGAGAGGCTGGAAACCGGTTCGGGAAGGGAGAAGTGTTGAGGTGACACACACAGAATGTGTCCATAGTGTCTGGACAAGGTATAGAATAAGAGAATGTGGTCCCCATGGTTCAGAGCCAGTATGGGAAGCCGGTGCCTCTCGTAATCAAGTCAGGCTATGACTACAGCAGCGCCCAGGATGAGCAGGCATTACATCGCAGTTATAGAAAAGGCAGGCCTGGAAGACAGATTTTTCCTGTTTAGGTCAGTTTTTCTACTCCAGAGTAGCACAAACAACCTACAAAGGAAAGGCACATAGAGATCCCTTCACCCCCCACCCCATCTTCCCACCAACAAATGGGGAATGCAAGAATCCGAGGAGAGTGGTCAGCCAACACTTCCGGACAGCACTGCTTGCTCTTCTCCATGAATTCCATCAGCGGCTGCTTTGTGGCAGTGGTTCGGGGGAGGATGAGAAGAGGTAACCAGTGTCTTAAGGGTGCCTGAGCATCTCACTTGCTAGCTAGGGAATGTTCTTTAAACCCTTAAAGAGACAGAAACACACGCACACACACATGCACACACATACACACGCACACATGTGCGCGCGCGCACACACACACAACAAAAAGATACAAGGAGAAACCACAGGAGAGGAGGGGTGGGGGAGGGAGGCTGGCACACAGGGAAAGACTACCTTTAGGCCTACTAACTCCTCTCACACACACACACACACAGAAAGCCAGTTACTTCTGGCAGTTGACATTTCTAGTAGGTCTGACACAAGACCCAGGGTACACTAGGTGCCCTTAAAACAGGGTCGGTGGTAGAAATTTGGGGACCCCATTGTAAGCATGTGTCTTAGCATCTGAACTATGACCTGACTCTCTCTCAGTCTTAGAGCAGGCCACTGGGACAGCTCTTGCCAGGAACCATGGTGCCCAACTTAGCTCTACACCAACACTGCAGATAAAAGTCACACTCATAAGCAGACAGGATTGAGAAGACCGATGGAAAGAGCACTACCCTCATGAGCTACACTAGAACCTGGAGATGAGGAGGGACGGCTTGGAACACATGAATGAGAAAATGTCCCTGTGTGAAGATAACTGGTCCAATGCCTGCGAATAATTTATTCTCTTAAGACATGTGTTGTCTTTCTCTTCTTAAAAACTGTTTGAAAATCACATTTAAAGGCCCCAGACATGCAGCAAAAATACAAAAGGATAAAAATAATAAAAAATAAAATACATGAAAATCATCAACACCACAACATTAAAAAAGTGCAACTTACTTTGAGTGGGGCCTGATTGGCTCCTCTGGCACTAGTGACCCAAAGTCACAGAAGGGAGAAAAAGATGCAAAAAGCACACACACACATACACACACACACAGGTCTCAGGCAGACAGACTCAGAAGGATTAGAAAACATCATCTCTTCTTGATTACTGAAATGAGCAGGTGAGACCACACAGGACAGGAGGCTGGGACCCCCTCCCTAGGCCAGGCTTTTGAGTAATCTTGGTCTAGCACCACCGTAAATGAAGTGGAACTTTCATGTGGACGTGCAAATACTGTGAGTCCTCGGAATCCTAGTGTTGCTTAAGATGCATGAGCTTCTTTCCCCATGGATGGCAGACCCTTGCAGGCGGTGGCCAGACACCACTGAGGACCATTTCCAGGAGAACAGGAGCATTCCTGAGGTTCTTGTACTCAGCAGTAGAAGTAGAGGACCCTCCTTCACCAGCTTTTAAAAAGACTGCACCTCAAAATGGATAAAAATTCACCAAATGGGCGTCGTGAGTGGTTTAGGAGTAGGACAAAATTAAGGAATCTCTTCCAGGGAGGTGCACAAAATTCTCCAATGGAGATCTCCAACAGGACTGTTTCTCAGCAGCCTGATGACTGCTCCTTTTCCTCTTCCTTGGCAAAGAAGGTCTCCAGTTCCATCAGCTTCTGTATCAAAAGAGCATCCAGCTCTTGACCCTGCAGAGCCGCCTTCTGGGCCCTGGTGAAGCTGCCTGTCAGCTTGACTTTACCTCGAGCTTTCCTCTTTCGAGGGACTGTAAAATCCTGAAATTCTAAAACTCGCTTCCTTTTCTGTTGGCTGACTGAGATTAGTGTACCATTCCGTTCCTTGGGTTCCTCAAAGATGGTCTCTAAACACCTGAGGATAGAGCACAAAACAAAATCAACAGATGACTTATAGGGCTCCAACACTTCCCGTCAATAGGGAAACTGGGGTATCATAGGTTGTGACCAGATTTAAAGGCCTCATCAGTGGGAAACAAGTCAACATGGGCTCACTGGTGAGAATGTAATCGGCCAGTGGGGAGCGCTGTGTATCAATGTGACCCATACTGACATGCTGATAAGGACCCACTGTTAGAAACAGAATGTATCCAATGTCCAATCAATGGGAACCAACTGATTTAATCTACAAGAAAAAAACAAAAACCAAAAACAAACGAACAAAAGAATCCTCAAGACTGAACAAAACAAATCCTATAAAAACAGTCCTTCTTGGCTTTGGTCTATAATTTGCTGGTCCATGTCATTTATCTCGAACTGTAGTAAGAAATTGAGTGCTGGTGGCTAGTAACTGTAACCCTAGCAACTCAGGAGGCTGAGATCTAAGGAATGAGGTTTGAATCCAAGCAATTCTTTAACTCCAAGCCCCAGTACCAGTAAACACATATACACACCAAAGGAAAAAAGCTCGCTTCAGTTTAGTACAGAGGTATGTCGATTCATGTGTCAATGGCTATCTAGTACATTCCACTGTAAGGATGGATCAAAATCCATTTAGAATCTAGTAATGGATATTTCAGGTCACAATATAATGGTTTTATACAAAATGTTATAGAGCACAGGTACAAAAGGACAAGTACAAGAGGACTGGGAAGGTGGGTCAATGGTAGAGGGCTTGCCTTGCATGCATGAGGCCCTGGGTTCGATTCCTCAGCAACACATAAGCAGAAAAAGCCAGAAGTGGTGCTGTGGCTCAAGTGGTAGAGCTCTAGCCTTGAGCTGAAGAGCTGAGGGACAGTGCCCAGGCCCAGAGTTCAGGCTCCACAACCGACCAAGAAAAAAAAAAAAAATTCCCAGGTTAAGTTCCCGGGGTTTTGGCTTGGGCAAAAAAAAAAAAAGATAAATGTCATTCATTTGAACCAAATTCAGACCCAAAGGTGGTTAAGTGAAACCCTACCTGAAGATCAGTGGTAAAGTCAGGAGTAGCCAGCCAGTCTGCATACTTGGTAAAAGACCATCACAGAGCTGGGAAGGTGGCTCAGTGGTATAGCGCTTGCCTTGCATGCATGAGGCCCTGGGTTTGATTCCTCAGCATCACATAAGCAAAAAGAAAAAAGCTGGATGTGGAGCTGTGGCTCAAATGATGGAGCGCTAGCCTTGAGCTGAGGGACAGCGCCCAGGCCCAGAGTTCAGGCCCCACGACTGGACCCAAACAAAAACAAACAAACGAAAACCCCAAAAAATACCACCACAAACCAGAGGAGGCTTCTAAGTCTACCTAGGCCACATGGATTTCTTCCCTGTCCTATCATGACTCGGGCTCAAGAGTGGGGAACTGGCCTAGTGCCAGTGGCTCACACCTGTAAGCCTATCTACTCAGGAGGCTGAGATCTGAGGGTCATGGTTCAAAGCCAGCCCGAGCATGAAAGTTGTGAGACTCTTATCTCCAATAAATCTCTAGAAAACTGGAAGTGGCGCTGTGGGGCTCAAGTGGTAGAGTGCATGCCTTGAGCTACAGAGTGCCGGGACAGCGCCCAAGCCCCACTACTGACCCCCCCTCCAAAAAAAAGCGGGGAACTAAAACCATCAGTTCTAGTTATTTCAACAACCCAATACTGGCAGAGCTGAACAAGCCTTTTCTATAGTAAAGGATTAGAGATTTACAACAATCATTTCAGAGTTATACCTTCTCCTTCATCCCAGTCATGTTGTCCTACCTGTTCGCAGGAGGAGATTTGTAGTTCTTGTTGGTGTATATTTCTTCTAAACTGAATTCTTTCTTTTTTAACCTAAAAAGAGAAAAAATAAATGCTTCAGGGCCTCTACTTTATCTTATATTTTATATAGTGCCAGTACTGGGGTAGGAACTCAGGAGCTCACATGCTTTTTCCCCCTCTACCAGCTAAGCCACACTTCCACTTCTGGCTTTCGGCTAGTTCGCTGGAGATTAATTTCTCAGCTTTGTCTGTCCAGGATGGCTTTGAACCATAATCCTCAGATCTCAGACTCTTTATGTCCTTCAAAGAAAATATAGATTAGTTTCTCAACTCTACCATTTCCATTTGCTTATTCCAAATCTTTCTGTTAATACATTGACAGAACAAGAGGTTTTTTTGTTTTCTTTCCCAGGATGTCAATCTTCAACTTTATCAAACTAGGTCCATGTATGGAATTAGCAGGAATGACGTTTGGATTTTTATCTTGTGTGTGTGCTAATACTGGAGCTGAACTCAGGGCCTGGGCATTGTCCCTTAGCATTTTTGCTCAGGGCTGATGCCTAAATCTGACCATAGGAAATTCCTGTATGTTCCTCATAGGATTGGGATAAGCCAAACATATTTTAGGACACCATGGAAATCTGGGTGCAGTAGCAGTTTTCTTGCTGGGTAATGGTAGCTCATGCCTGTAACTCTAGCTAAAGATCTGAGAACTGAGGTTTGAAGCCAGCACAAGCAGAAAAGTTCAGGAGTCTCCTATCTCCAATTAACAACTAAAAAAGCTAGAAGTGGAGCTGTGGTTCAAGTGGCAGTACATCAACCTTGCTCATAAAAGTTAAGTGAGAGCATGAGGCTCTGAGTTCAAACCCTAGCATCAGGGCTGGGAAGGTGGCTCAGTGGTAGTGCTAGCCTTGCATGCATGAGGCCCTGGGTTCGATTCCTCAGCACCACGTAAGCAGAGGCCAGAAGTGGGGCTGAGGCTCAAGTTGGTAGAGTGCTAATCTACAGTTGAAGAGCTGAGGGACAGTGCCCAGGCCCAGAGCTCAGGTCCTGGACCCAGCGCCACACACACACACACACGCACCTTTTTCCTTTCCTTTGCACACACACACACCCCTTTTTCCTTTCCTTTGCACACACACCCCCCCCTTTTTCCTTTCCTTTGCTATGTTGCCCAGCCACACACACACACACCTTTTTCCTTTCCTTTACACACACACACACTCCTTTACACACACACACACTCCTTTACACACACACACACTCCTTTACACACACACACACTCCTTTACACAACACACTCCTTTACACACACACACACCCCTTTTTCCTTTCCTTTGCTATGTTGCCCAGTCTCATTTCAAGCTCATGGGCTCAAGAGTGCCTCTTGAGTCTTCCTAATGGTTAGAACAGGCCATGCCACTATACCAAGATTCATGCTTAAAACAACAAAAAAACCCCAAAAACATTAGTTTTATTTATTTTTTGTTGTACTAGGGTTTGAATTCATGCCTCCAGCCTTTTTGCTATTTTTTTCTTTGTCCATCATAGGGCTTGAACTTTGGGCCTGGACCCTGTCTCTGAGCTCTTCAGCTCAAGGTGAGTGCTCTACCACTTGAGCCACAGTGCCACTTCTGGCTTTTGGTTTTTTTTTTTTTTTTGCCGGTTGTGGGGGCCTGAACTCTGGGCCTGGGCGCTGTCCCTCAGCTCTTCAGCTCAAGGCTAGCGCTCTACCACTTGAGCCACAGAGCCACTTCCGGCTTTTTTGTTTTTGCTTATGTGGTGCTGAGGAATCGAACCCAGGGCCTCATGCATGCAAGGCAAGCGCTCTACCACTGAGCCACCTTCCCAGCCCCCCTCTACTTCTTTTTAAACTGAGTGGCTCTGACACAAGACAAGAACACAGGTAGTAGGACAGGACACATGGGCTTCTCCTCCTGCCTCACAAAGCTCTGGGCAAGAACCAGGAAGAGACAATCAGGATGTTGTAAACAGTGCTATCAGAATTCTCTAGCTGTATCATGATGATCACCATAGAAGAAAATACAATAGTTCTGAAAGCTTAAGAGCATGGTGCTGGCATCTCTGGGCCTCCGATGAAGGCATCATGGTAAATGGCATCGTAATGCTGAGTGATAATTCAGTCCAGGCTCTGCTAGACCACTGCTCTGGATCAGAGGTGAGGTGAGATACCATGGAAATAGAAGCCTGGCAAGGGCAAGGGAGGCTGCTCACCAAATGGTAACTGGGTAGCAGAGAGCTGGAGTACAATTTTTATTTATTTTCTTGCTGATCGTGGGGTCTGAACTCTGGGCCTCGGCACGGTCCCTCAGCTCTTCAGCTTAAGGCTAGTGCTCTACCACTTGAGCCACAGTTCCACTTCTGGCCTTTTCTGCTTATGTGGTGCTGAGGATTTGAACCCAGGGCCTCATGCATGCAAGGCAAGCACTCTACCATTGAGCTACCTTCCCAGTCCTTTGCTTTTTATATTGATTTTAACAAAATGTTTATTTTGTCAGGTATCAGGATGGCAACTCCTGCCTTCAAGTTAGGAGCATTTGCATGGTAGATCTTCCATCCCTTCACTCGGAATTTGTTTTTGCCACTGGATTCATTTTGTTACTGTTTTGTTGATGATATTTTGGGAGGGGGTAGGGGGGATTGGTTATGTGGCTTGAACGCTGGGCCTGGCACTGTCCCTGAGCTCTTCAGCTCAAAGTGAGCGCTCTACCACTTGAGCCACAACACCACCTCTGGTTTTCTGGTGGTTAACTGGAGATAAGAGTCTCACGGACTTTCCTTGCCTGGGCTGACTTTGAACCTCGATCCTCAGATCTCAACCTCCTGAGTAGTATAGGTGTAAGCCACTGGCGCCCAACTTGTTCATGATTTCTGTATGTATAATCATGTTCTCTGCTGCTTTTACGATCATTTTTATTTTTGGAATTGTGTAAATTCTATTTTTAGCTTTAGTTATTTTTCAGATAGTGTTTTACATTTTTTGCCTAGGGACCACTGACCAGCTACCTGTGTAGCTGAAATTACTGATATATACCACCATGATCATTTATTGAGACTACCTTTTTGCCTGGTGGATCCTTAAACTCCAATCTTCTTCTTCTTCTTCTTTTTTTTTT